TAAGTGATGTTGCATCGTACATTTTTATTGTTAAATAAAAAAAAAAATAACCGCAATTCACTTATTTGACGCAAAAATTTTCGCAACCCACAAACTGGATTATCCGATTTTTGAACATTTCACGGATTGCGATCTTTAGAAAATTCTTTAATAATAATTAATAATAAAATATTTCATGATGTTAATATCGTATGGTCAAAACAAAATAACAAGATAATAATATAACTAAATAATAAGAATAATAAATAATGAATATCCCATTACCTCGAATATACCTTTTTATGTCAGATAATAATAATTTTTCCTCCTTTCTGATAACATTTAAATATATTATAAAATATCAACTAATATTCCTGCTTAGATTTTCCCAAAGGAAGAAATAAGTTCGTAAACAATTTCAAGCGGCAATTAACTAGGCGTCCATATCATTGACAGAGCCGTGATCGCAGTGATCGCATGTGATTTTCAGTAAAACCGGCTCAGCGCGTGCAATATCTTTTATTTACCGTATATATTTGATCAAAGGTTAAATTGAAAAACGAAATATGGACAATATACAAAAGGGAGTAAGGACCGAATGTTCATTTACTAAGGCAGCTACCAGTGTTAAAAATATCTCAAAATTGCTAATAACGCTCAAGATACAAGTCTGATTCTAATAATCCAAATTTTGAGCGATTCGGAAGATGAGGTTAATACTCATCAAATCAATGAAAATATTCAAAATCTAAAAAAACGACTAGGAAGAATAGCCGAACGTATCTAATTTATTATATTAAAATTATAAAAATTACACTAGCTAGTTTGTTGAAAGAAATTATTACTTAGTATTAATATTGTAAAAGTAACAGATGATTATTAAATATCCCTGGTGTCAATATCGTAAAAATTTTTGAATATGAGGAGTATATATCTAAATATGAAGGTGAAACGGTGGATTGTACTACAATCCTGAAGCAAAATCCTTATAATTCATGAAGAATGTATTTTCTATTCTAAAGATTGTAACGTGAGCATTGGCTAAAATAGATTACTAAAAAAAAGAAAATAAATCTATAATGGTTAGTAATTTTCTTACTGAATTTGTTACGCTTATGTTTACTTTTCGTTTGCATATTCCCATAACTCTATGGATATGACCTTTCTAAATTTTTCTATAACTTCTTCAAATTTAGCAATATATTTGATCTTATCCTTCTCAATATTCTCCGCAATTAATCTTGCAAATAAACATACAAATACACCACAAGAATGTCCATCCACTTGTGGAGGCTCTTCATTTAGAAACATTATATCTAAAACGACTTTAATTTGATCTCCAATTTCATTTGAATTACATTTATTACGATATTCATCATTCAACCACTTAACAAGGTTCTTTCCAATAGCAATAGCGTAATCATTTGATATTGACCCTAAAGAATCCAAGACAGCAATTCTATATGGATCCTTCATAAATATTGCAGCCAAAATCCAATGTGATTGATGCAAGTTGATTGGGACAAAAATAATTTTCTTTTGAGAAATTTGTGTTCTTTTTGTCCAACGTACGACAGAAGAATATCCAGCCTTTGTTAATTTTGTATAAAAAAAGGACGAAAGAGAATATACGTGATGAAATTTCGTACTCAAATAAGAAAGATAGGCATTTATGTGATCAGAAGAAAGCCAAGTATTTTTATTCCGTAATTCGTATAATTTTTTTGCTGTTAAAGATTCTGAATTAATATAAATAACATCTTTACTATTTCTACACAACCATTTCGTTAATTCCATCTGACTGTTTTCATTGTGGTCAAAAATTTTGGAAACTTCAGGATATTCTTCTAGTCCTATTATGCGTTTACGGCTCTTTTGTGGCATACTTTGAACTTGCACTAATTTAATGAAATATTTGTTAATATACTCGTTTTTAAATAAATATAACAAAAGCACTTGAATATTATTTTATTTACCTTCCAAAATATTTGAAAGTTAGCTGACCCTTGAGACTGAATAATTTTAAACGCGTTTGGGATAAACCAGAGAAAAGATTGTTGAAACAATGATCATTGCAAAAAAATAAAATAGAGATCTGCGAGATCTATAATCACGTGACACAAGGTGTGACATTTTATTCCCTCCATAATTAAAATTCTTCTTCTGGATCGTGAAATCTATAAAATACCATATTTGCTTCATTTTTTCTAAGTACGGTTAGTTTTTTCTTTAAAAATTTGGCTGGGATACTTCAATAATTTACCAAATAATGATGGAATGGATGAGATAACGAAATTTTAATTCAAGAAAAAAGTTGGCGGAATATTTTTAAAAAACAGCTATTTACAATTCCTTAGATAACAACACAACTATGGGTAATAACTCTTCTGGTGATACAAACAGAAATCTGTTCCTCTCTTAGCAATCAGTTTCATACTATTGTCGGTTGTAAAGAAATAGATCTTTCTATCGGAACAGAAGGTGCAATAGGTAAAAGAGCCACAAATTCGTATTTGGGGTTGCCATTTTTTATTCATTTTGACAAATTCTTTTATAATTATAAATATGCTTTTTCTAAACAAAGAATATGATTTGCTTTTCAAGTTCAGAAAATGCAACTTTTTTGCTTGGAAATAAATTATTCATTACTATTTCTGCCGTAAAGATATAAAATAAAAATTCATTTCCAAGTACCATTTGACTGAAGCAAAATGAAACTCAACCATTCTTTGCGGTATGTAAAACTTCCAATAGTTGCATACATAGAGATTCTTCATAAGATTTTTCGTTAAATCCGAAGGAAAAATGTAGAGGATTTGTTAACCCTGATCAGTCGTATTCACATTCTTCTTTTGTTGATTACTACTTCGACAGTAACTTGATTATAAAAAAAGATTTGCGAGTAAATTGGTGTCTCATTATTGATATTCCCTCCTTAGGATTCATCGATCCTTTTAGCAACGGTACAAATGGGAAACTTTGCTTAACTATCCAAGATAACGAGCCGCCAAAAGGCGTCCCCGTAGCGTCATTCATGTTTACGAGTCCATTCGACGTAATGTTTAAGTCCGAAACCCGCTTTAACCGAAGCGAAGTAATTATGTGCCATAACTCGAATTTACTACGAAATCTGCTGTGAGTTTCATATCCTCTTTATCGTGATTCGTGATTTAACTGATTTATCATTTATGATTATCGTGATTATCGGTTAAATCACGCAACAATTTCCGATGATCTGGAAATTAAATGTCATGTTCTCTCATACGTTCGAAAAATCTACAGCTAATTTTAACTATTTCTAACACTTTTAATTACGAAATTCTCACACCAGTCTTTTTTGTGAACATTAGGTTCCCGAAATAAATTACACCAAGGGCGAGGCTTTACCAACTGTTTATGCATGAATCGTTATTTCCAAGCAGAGAATATAATTTTTATTCACTCACATCCTGTTGCTCAAGCCATTTCTCGGTTTTTCAATAATTCAAGGTTTATCTAGACGTTTCACGATTATATAATATTTCATTTGAACCTGCAGAAATAAAGTGTGGCACGTATAACTTATAAATAAGAAAAAAAGATAGTTACAATATAATGATCAATTATAAGTTTCAATGTTGTTGATGAAGATATGTATTGGAGCGTATGCAGCAATAGAAGTGCGAGAATTATCAAATCTGACCATGGAATATATTTTGGACATTTATTTGGGTATTGTATAGGATATAATAGTTTCCTTTTTCAAAAATTTATCTGTTAGCGCTCTAAAGAGATCCTTGGTTATGCGTTGGTAAAACATTAAATGATGATAGAATTACTGTCGGTGATAACAAATCTGTTTCAATTGTTTAATTTAAAATATAAAAACAAATATTTTTTGTAATTCACAATTCATTGCAACCGATGATTTGGACATTCAATAAATTGGTATTTCGGCATAGTTCCGGGAACGCATTAGAAATTTATCATTATAAGTTTAATAATGATTACCATACATACATTATAGTACATTAGGCAATCTCTATCCCAATATTTTAATTTCATCCGGAACTCCTTTCCCTTATGATTTCACTTTCAGGTTTCCTTCGTGTAGCTGACAGGTTCACTAATTTTACGAGAATGTATAAATGTCAGAGTCTATTATAAAATTCAGATAAAATTAGCGATGTGTAATAATGAACTTTTGGATACTTTTACCTTCCATAATCATGTTATCCCATTCCGCCTTCGTGTTGAGAACATTTATTAAAGATGAATATGTGTTATATTTCGAATTTTCGTGATTAACACAACAAATTTTGGGAATTCGGCACATGGATTTGATACCTATGCAATTAATATTTAAGGATAATTAAAAATTTGTGATTAAGAAAAAACAAATGATCTCGAAATATAATAAATATTGGACAGATCTGAAATCGGTTTAACTTCTACCAAAGCAATAATTTTGGTTTTCTTAATAATAACAAAATTATTCGGTTTTTTACCTTCCCTTTTTAGATCATCCTAGGGAATTAGTGATAAAAAACAATGTTACATAACCTACCTAAAACAGGAGGTGCGCATGCGTTATATAAAGAATTTATAACGTTGTATGCATTAATTTTTAACTGCATTTCAAAAACTTATATAACTTATTTTCAAAATTTTTAAAATTTATTTAATTTATTTATCAAAACTTGAACTTCTTTGTAAATATTCTCACAGCTTTAGATCAAGGTATAATATATAAATTATTAATGATAAATTGTTAATTTATATATATATGATTAATCAATATTATGTTAATAATAATTCTCTTTATACCAGAAAAATATTCAGAATTTAAGAAGAATTCTGTAGAAGTTTATATTAAAGAAAGTTTAAAGGGTGGAAAGTTAAAACCATTCTGGGAAATTACTAAATATTTTTAATACTTCTTATAAAAAAGCACATCTACACCATTATATTTACCACTATAAGTAACTGGTAAGTTCAATTATTATATAATTATATAATTATTTTATATTTTTGATAGTTGCCTTTACTTATAAATACATTTATTATATTAGAACATTAAGTTAGCTGATTTTGGATGTAACTTTATTAGAATATTATTTTATTTGCTTTTTTCTTTAAATTATTTTATTCATTTATTTTTTTTTAAATTCTTTAAATTATTTTATTCATTTAAATTTTAAATTCTTTAAATTATTTTATTCATTTATTTTTTTAAATTCTTTAAATTATTTTATTCATTTATTTTTTAAATTCTTTAAATTATTTTATTCATTTATTTTTTAAATTCTTTAAATTATTTTATTCATTTATTTTTTTAAATTCTTTAAACTATTTTATTCATTTAATTTTTAAATTTTTTAAATTATTTTATTCATTTACAAAATATTCAAATTATTTTATTTATCTCTACTATTAAAATGAAAAATATAATACAGTAAAATTATATTATGTAAAATTATAATAATTATTTTGATAATCTTTCAATTTTTTCAATTTTTTCATTTTTTTTTTAATTTTTAGTTAAAAAGTAAGTTAGTATTATATTTAAAGTAAAATAGTATTCAGATTATATCTTAGAAGTATTATTTTTTAGTGACATATGATATTATCTAAATAAAAGTAATAGACTTTTTATTTTTATTAATTACTTAAAATTATATATAATAATTACATATTATTGTTTAGCTTTTTTTAGTTCATATTAAGAGTTAAAAAAGTTTATGTATTAGTTTTAAAAAAAAATTATATGTAAAAAGTTTAAAAAAAATTTATTATATAAAAGTTTAAAAAGTTTATATAATTTTATTTTTTTATTCTACTAACTTAATTCGTGATCCGCATATAAAGTAGAGAGGACCCCGGATAATTATAATTGAGGTCATATCTTACTATGTTTTAAACTTTATTTTTCTTTTAACATGTAATTTTATTAAATTAATATTATTTTTTACCATAGAAAAAAATGTTTCTTTTGAAGAGAAGAATCTTTTGATACCAAAATCTTGTAAATCTACTGATTAGAATTTGAGATAAGTATTGTTACACAGGCAAAATTTGGCAAAAAAATATATGCTTTTTCACTATCGATATACATAGAAATATACAAAAAAAATAAAAATTACTATTATTAAATATTACTTTTTAAATAACAAAATTATAGATAATAGGAGGGCAATTATTATTACAAAGTTTTGTATCTATAGCTTTAAAAGTAAGTTCAGGATGATAAGGGTAAATTTTTAGCATAGAAGATATGACCTTAATTATAATTGTCCGGGGTCCTAAGTAGAGAATATCGATATTCTGATATGGGGTGCTGATCATATATAAATATAGTAAATTAGCCATAATTCAGCTATTTTGGACTGAGCTAGCACCACCATTTTATACGACCTAAACTTCATATTTTATATGCTAATAATAGAATACTATATGAATAAATTTCTTGCATTTTCGTACTGAATTGTAAACAAAAAAAAAACTTTTACTTGCCACGTCATCAGATTCCTGGTTATAAATATAGTAAGTAAATTCGCAATTTCAATAATTTTTATAAAATTTATGGCAAAAAAACTTAAAAAAATGTTGTTTAACATCAAAAATTTTCAAAAATTTTCAAAATTTTATTCATTTATCAAATTCTTTATTTTCTAAGATCTGTCAACTAGCGCTAAAGCTTGTTGGGCTTTCAATTTACGATGAGTTTGTACATATCAAGAAATCCAATTACTAATTGTAGAAATTTTTGGAATTTCCTCTTCTTCTAAAACTTCTTCTTCTACTAAACCTTTCAGTTCATTATGCATTTCTTGAGCTGTATACTTTTTGCTTTTATTTATATCTCTGGCCAAGAAATATGCCTCAAGGTATGGAATAACGTTTTTGCTTATTTGTTTACCTCCTCCTTTTTTACCAAATTTCTGATTTTCTTTTAAGGCCCATCCACTTGATAATGCAAAATTCGATGTGTGATTCAAAACTTGCCTTGAACCCAAATCAGTATCAATAATTTCGGTATTTAAAACGTCTATTATTCGTTCAGAAAAAAAGAAAATTAGTTTTGAGATAATATAATCACAATTTTACGGTAAGAATAATTTACCTATATTTTGTGATGATATTTCATCGTTCAATTTATTTTGTAAAATTTCTGCTAATATAACTCTATTATTGCTTACATCTGTGTCAACGCCATATTCCTTCAATTGTTTTTTCAATTCTTCAATAATAAGACGATTTGTATTAATTTCTAATATAAAAAAAAAATCAATGTAAAACAATTGTAAAAAAAGAAAAAAAAAATCAATTTATTACATACTTGATTTATGAGATAATGGAATATTCCAATTGGAAGTTGGAATTGAGTGATCTGAAACTTGTGGATTAGGTTTTTCAAGAGGTCTTTTTTCAAATTGTGCTATTTTAGCCGGCTCAAAATTTTTCCAAGTTCCAATATTAGGCATTGCACGAGCCTGAATAAATCCTGCATATTCACCTTCTGTCGGCCAGGACCACTCATACCAATTGGAATTTCCTGGTATTGAATTTTTCTTTTTTCGTCCTGATTCTATAAATCATAGTAATTGCTTTCAGTAATAAGTATTACATAACTTCAAAATTGTATTCTCACATATACCCTTTTTCCGTTCTGGTTCCAAATGTGCTACTGAAGTACCACAAATCCCTTGAATAGCATTCTCTATGTCTACACCTTCATTGATATCAAACCCCAATCGAACATAACGATTTATCTCATGTGAAATCTGTAACCAATGATTCAATAAATAATAATGGTGATTTCCTAAATTATTTGAACAATCAATACACACTTGGGCATGGTGAGAATCAATTGATGTTTTAGCCTCTCCAGCTTCTAAAAAAACCCATTTTTTTACTGAAATATTGTACCATTCATTCCAATGCCCTAGAATTAACATTAGGTCCGCATTGTGATAATGTGGACCATTATCAGAAAGAAAAGTAACCCAATCTGGTTTGACTTCAAGCGATTCAATAACTGCATGTAGTGAAGAAGCTGTGAACCATGCATCTTGGCATGTATCGGCCAACCAGTGATCAAATACTTGAATATCCAATTGATGACTTTCAGATTTTCGTGTATAGACAAGAATTGAATGCAAAGCCCATCCTTTTTTCCCAAAAAAAGCACTTTTTGTTTCTCTTGCGCTCTTGGGTAAGATTTTCATCTTATAATCAACTATTATTATAGCTCCTTTTTCATCTAAATCTAATAGATTTGCGTTAAATTGAGAATTTAGAAATACTTTTCGCGTCTGATGACTCAAATAATAGAAAATTTTATCTCGTAATTCATAAATTTCCTCTTGAATATTATTTGGAGTGTTTTTTTCAATATCAATGAAGAATTGAAAAAGTGCATCACAATCTGAACATGTGTGAGTATGTTGTTCATTACATATACCAAAAGCAAAAGGAAGGCAATGGTTTATACATTGGTTATGTGCTGTTGTACCATCAGAATTTACAGTCAAATGTGACTCATATTCCCTTTTCAGATATCGTTTTAACTTCTCTCCTTGATCTAATAATTGATTCTAAATGAAATTATTAGAAATTAATATTATATAATTATTTTTATCAATTATAGGAATAAAAATATTACCTGGATATAAAGATTACTAACATGATTTTGAATAAGTTTGGTAAGTTCATCAAATGTTTCATAGCCATATGTGTTGCATATTAAACACAAACTACCAAGATTCTCACGATAAATATATCTATTGCCTTGCAAATGCTTATAAAAAGTTGTTCATTTTACTCTACTTGGATATTTTTCATGAAACTTTTCCCACAGATCTTATTTCGTATTTTTGAGGTAATGAACTGGTTCTTGCGTAATGGTGTCTGTTTTGTATGAACTCATTATTACATTAGCTTTATCAGAAAAGAATTGTTCTAAATTTTCTTTTTTTTCCCGTTCTAATTTGTCTTTGATAATAATAGGTTTTTGTACTTGAGGTGCACCTAGTCCATTAATACGTGCATATTGGCGGACTCTTGATACTGTATTTGCAGCTACCTGTAAGTTTATATTTTTATTAGTTCAATTATTTTGATAGCATGCATTGTAGTAGTATACACTAACAGTACACTAACCCCTAATTTTGATATGAGTTCCTGATAGGTAAATTTTGTAGCAATAATTGAAAGAATTCGTCTTTGACCATTTGGACCTCTATTTGTATTTTCCAATGCATTACGAAATGCTTGCCAAAATGTAAGAGATTGATTTTCTTGATAACATGGATTTTGTTGGAGGAATCCTGATTCATAAAGTATTTGTAATGTTGTACTATCTTTTTGAGCGTTATCTGATTTCGTCCAAAATTCAAACTAAATTAAAAAAATTATTTGTCAATAATAAATAAAAAAGTTAACTCAATTTTTTGCATAATTACTAACTTTAGATTCTTCATTTTTGAAGGGGATGATATTAGTACATCCTGCATTTCAAACAAATGCTCTCCAAGCACGCCATTCTCGTTCATTAATTTTATAACCAGATGGATATAAATCTAAAATAGCTTTCCGTAATTCTAAAATATCACTTTTTTGATTCAACCATTTATTAAATAAATTATGCCATTTGACCTTACGTGAAATTCTTCTTTTCAAATGATATTTATAAAGATTTTCTAACACTCCCTCTAAAGTCTAGTCCAATACCGTGCAAGAAGGAATTTGTGCTTGTTGAATACAAATTTGCGTATACGGATTTTCTAACCCAAAAATTTATTTTCCAGAATAATTTGAAAGTCTGCCAATACATAACCAAACTTCATCAGGATCAATAGCATTATACGTCCTTATCAAAGTATCATTAGTATATATTTGAACTACACACTCTTCATCTTCTATTTCTTGAATAAAAGCTGATTTTATACCATTGTAATGGGATTGAAAGACGGATTTATATCCTTCTCCTGCATAGTTCCATTCCAGTTTTTTTGATTTTCCCATTTCCAGCACAATTACGTTCAATTTTCTAAGACTAATCATATATGGATGAAATATAATATCATCAAGTAATTGTTGTATAATATTTGAATTGTCAAAACCCATAACTTGTGGACCAGGAAACTTTACATTTGAACGAAAAACTTTTTCATAGCAGGTGTTAATAGCTTCTGTTGGTGAACTGTACACACCTGACCTATTTTCTTCAGAAAAACACAAAAATCCAGGAGAATTTGGATGCTGAGTATCTTTTACAACGGTAATTATAAAGTCACATTTTTTAAAACTTTATAAGTTTTCATTCCTAAACGAATCAGAAGGAGAGGAGTATGCGTAGAATTCTTATTTATTGGTCGCACAAGCCACCAGTTATGACAAAATGGACCAAAATGTAAATTTTTTACAATTTTGCCTGGAAAAATAAGTGTTGTAATGTATTCTTTACTTTTACTTATATGTTTTGACTTTAAAAAAGAAGTTGGGTATGTAAAAAATGCGAGATTCTAAAAGACATGAAATCGCATATGCATATTATCCCCAGATTTTATATATGTTGATTACTACTTTATATACAGATCACGAATTAAATATCTTTTTAAGGTTTTTTATATTCCTCGTAGTGTCAATAGAATCCTTGAAAAAATGTATTAATTTTTTGTGATCGCGAACCCGCTTATCTTGACTGGAATTAGTTCTACCAGTCTCAAGATAAACAATTTCAAGTTCAGCATTTTTTCTTAACTGGGCTACCATCATATAATCGGCTCTTCAGGCAATTTTACGAGAACCTTTTCATGTAGCACTTGCTAAATTTCCTTCTTCACCCCTTAATTAGAAAACATATTAATTGAAGCAAAGGTTATGATACTGGCGTATCTTTTCAAGTTAAGCCTACTATATGTCCTATGCTATCGGTTTTCCTGGCAAATTGCTCATCACTATATTTAGTAATGGTGCAAGTAGTTCACAAACATACGATCCTTCGTTTATTGATTTTCCCTTCTTTATATATGCTTCGTATTTTGGTGATTTCCAAACTTTAAGCTTATAATTATTTATCAGTTAATGAGCAAAGTAAAATCAGCAAAGACGTGGAGCATATAAACGGATTTCAGCAAGAACCGCTCACTTACATTGATTCTAATATCCGTTTTGTTAAATCCTGCAATTCTTCGGGTTTATCCAACCATTCGCCATAATTAATATTACTCAAAATCTCATTCACGTTAATTTTCGATTTCTCGTTTTGGATAAATTCTTTGCAAGCTTCCATTACATCATGATTCTGTTCTAACTTATATTTTTGAAATAGTTCCTTAAAAATATCACAAACCGATCCAGGCATATTTGTAAAGGGTTCTGACTTGATATCTAGAACACCTGAACAAATTGGATGATCGAAACTAAGATCCTCTACATTTATTTCTCTGAGTTCTGTTTCTATTCTCTCCCACATGGTTTTCTCATAACTAGTGCTCTCAGTTATACACCGTTTAACATCACGCTTCAAAGATCGTAAATTTGTATTTGCATCTTTATGCCAGGCTTCGGCATCAATTACTAATGCTTCCATTTCTGAGAGTGAACATAGATCTTCAAATGCAGTTGCGACCTAAAATATATTTAAGATTAGTTTCCAAGACACATTTGATAAATAATTTAATTGTACATCGCGGGATCAGATTAGGTTTCCATTTCATAAAGTCTCAAGTGCCGACAAAATGCTTGATATGTAGTTATACCCTAATATAGTATAAAACTAGTAGCTGCTGTGTGGAAAGTAATAATATTACAATGAACATCAGCCTCTTTGCTAGTGATTATATCATACTAGGAAACCTAAAAATACAAGTCATCATATCATATATTTATCATAAAATAATTCATCACCATACCCGTTTTGCCAGTTTTTTTCAGTACCAAAACTTTGAAGCTTCTTTATCCATTTAATATCCTCCGAGGGAACTCGTTCCAAAACTCGCTCCAAAATATTTTCAAAGTTCTCTACCTCCTTTTTGAGAACACTGGTCCATTCGCCCTGTTCTACTCGTACAAATAATGCTGTGGATATTCTGACGATATCAAAGGGTTCTCTGGCTAAAAGAAACTCTTCCATATTTTAATATAATAAGAAGTTATATGTTAATGAAAGCCTGCTAAGCGAAGTAAAAATATTGTAAATTTCAATATCTTTTTCGTCATACTGCCTTTATAAATGTATTGTAATTTCCCATTCACCTTCTCTGAACCTGAGATTATGTTGGGGTTGAAACATAAGAATATGCTAGACACTTTACGCCAAAATTTTGTGTTAGAGAATAAGGACATGTGGAATATGCATTGAAGATCTCAATATTTACAAAAGCGCTAGGGATATGCATATACATACTTTTTTTTCTTTATTTCACTTGCCGACCGCTCAGTAATAAAGGTCTAGTAGTATTATACAAATACACTCGCGCTTGTTGCTGTCAAAATCTAGTAAAAATAGCCGAAGAAAATATACTCATAAATGAATGCTATTCAGATAGATAGGAAAAAAATTTGAAATATTTTGGGGATCAATTTCTTATGTGTGAAAATTGATTTGTCGCACAAGCAGTCATACAGAGTTATAGATGATTTGCGGTGTATCATCTATTACATCATATACACTTTAACGAGGATCAAAAACGTGCTAATTTATGTCACACATGGCTACATGCATTGTGGCTGGACAATATATTATTTTATTAAGATAATATTTGGGATCTGATGATCTGAAAAATTCAGGTGACACACTTTATTTCATTGCAAGAATTATAATCTAACACGCTTACAGATTGATTTTATACTTCATGAATTAGCCTTATATTTTTCACATTTTGTAACTCTAATGAGATATTCAATGTTATCTTTATCAATATGATAATATTCAGGATTCTGTAGCCACTTTAACTTGGTTAGTCCAATCTGAACCTCTAATAATTATATAGTCTCGCTGGTAGAATATTTTAAAAATAATATCATATGTTACATTAGCTAATCTCACATATAATTGATTTTTCTTCTCAAATTCCCAGTTAATATAAGGAATGCAAGAAGTTATACCTAAATACTTCTTATTATCAGGAGTACCATCATTCCTCACCGCCTCCCAAATCCGTTTTGCCAAAGATTTAGGTCTCTTCTTATAATTCCTATAAGCTCGCTGGATAACTGTTGCATAGAAATTTTCGAAGCCGTAATTATAGTATTTAGGAATCAAGAATTCCCAAGATCGCTTCATTAATCTTCCTGAAATACTTCACTAAAATAGTTATATATTAGAGAATCTAACCCAGAATAGGCAGATCATGCATAGCGTACTTTATCCTGCATAAATTATGCAGGTGATACATTTCACAATTATACTAGGCGATCATGTATGCAGAATTCATTTCGCAAAAAAAAAATAAGTTATACATCACACCTTTGGCTAAATATAGTTGAGATAAATAATGTTATTATTCAGTTGAGAGATATTAACTTTATCTCCTATTTGCATTATTTCGAACAGAATTAAAATATTCCTCAGTATCAATCAAGACATGGCTTCTCTCAAATCTATAGGCCGAAATTTCAGGTGCACTTGCACTACGTCGCATAGGGTATTTCTCAAGACCGCCCATTAATGCAACAGGTTTTAGTGGCAAAGGAGGAGGGTTAATGAACGTGACTTATCTATCCTATAGGAATAGTATCTCTGGTATTGGACAGGAGAAGAGGTTAAGAAGGTATTATCCATACAGATATTTTTTTGATGGTTATGAAAATAGTAAGGCTTGCTATGTGTAGTATTTACATTACTTTGCATCTTATGCTTTTGCCTGATACGTTGAATCCTATTTGATACATTTTCCAGCCACATCTCATATCGACGGATTACCTTCTTTGTGAAATAGCAAGGTGGTACTAGATTATTTTTCAGCTTCATGTAGTCTTCAAAGCTCATGTCACAATATTCGTTTTCAATACAATTTGCATGCCAATGCTTATCTATAAAGAATGCATAGAAATACTCGTACCCGCTTCCTAATTTGGAATAGACGAGTTGATTGCAAGAATAGCATATTCCTATATTTACTCAAACCAAACATTACACTGATATAATAAATATGTTTGTTTTCTTGCAATAAGATATCTCTTATTATAATCAGTTAAAAGATGATTTTTTCTATATTCCATTAATGTGCCCCAAATTCGATCTTTCCAATCTGATGGAGTCTCATTCCCACGCATTCTAGGAAGATCATAGTTAATATGTGAATCAGCTACACTTAAATGTATATAGGGATCAGAATATACCATATTTAATGATTTTAGCTATTAAGAGATTTATAGAGTTTATACTGCGATTTTTATCAATTTATAGCTGATTTAGCAAGATTATACTATATTAAATCCAAATTCATTTTTATTCGATTATAAGCATGTCAGGATCTATATAGAGCCACATATCGGGCTAAGCTAATTTTATATTTACATGAATATGCACAGCATCTTCGGCTAAATCAGTTTGTGGCATGATGTACTGTATATCGTATTGCATGTAATCTCTACCAGTTCCCTGTACGAAGCGCCTACAGTCCAGTTCCTTGATAGTTCTGGGAGAGTTCCAGGAGCTGGCAAGTTTCTATAAGTCATGAGATGATCGGCTAATTATATTCCGGGAAAATTAGACGACAGAAGTGCAGTAATCCTGGTGCAGTACCAAAGAATCCCGGACATGTATGTCCACTAATTATGTAGTGTTAGTATCGATCAAATATTTTTGGACATGCATGTTCGCTAATTAGGTGGTGGTAGTGTCAGTCAAATATTTTTGAACATGCATGTCCGCTAATTATGTAGTGTCAGTATCGGTCAAATATTTTTGGACATATATGTGTACCAACTAAGGTTGCTTGCCAAAACCTCTCCAAAATCCTGCGATAAATTTTGGCAAGATTTTACTATATGTTTACTATAGTTTCGGCAGGGTTTCAGCAGTTTTGGCAAATAGGGGTTTCGGCATTTCGGCAAAGTTTTGGCAGGATTTTTAATATGATTTAATATAGTTTCGGCATTTTCCGTATAGCACTGGTCAAAAACTAATATATCGGGTAGCAGATATATATCAGATATGTACCTGATATGTGTAGTATTAATGCTGAAAATCGGGTACCTGATATGTGTAAGATATGTGTAAATATATATATCGTCTACATATCATTTACATATCATATACATATCGGTACTCGATATGTATATGATATATATATTTACACATATCTTACACATATCAGGTACCTGATTTTCAGCATTAATACTACACATATCAGGTACATATCTGATATATATCTGCTATCCAATATATTAGTTTTTGACCAGTGTAGGTTTCGGCAGTTATTAAGAAGGTTTTGGCAAGCAACCTTAGTACCAACTAGGTACTGTCAGAATCGATCAAAAACATTTTTAAGCTAATTATACAGTTAGTCAGTATCAATTAAAAAAATAAATGGCTGAACTGGCTAAACTTTATTAATATATGCAAAGCGCCTTTCGGCTGTTTTCAGTAAACTAACCCTGAAGCACTTTAACAATTACATATTTAATGTCTTCCTTAAACAAGACCGTTATAGTTGATAATGAAAGTTTTAACTCAAGCCATAGAAATAATTTTGCTAAGATTTTGATCGTTACCAATGGTTAGAGCTCCGCAACCTGACCTGACAGATCGGGTAACCTGACGGGTTGACCCGAAATATTCAGGTCAGGTCATCAAATTCATGACCTGACACGGGTCGGGTCAGTGCTAGTCAGTACCTGACCCGACCCGTTGACCCGACATATATTTGGGTCAAATAAATTAAAAACACCGAAACTAATAGTTCTGGCATTTTTACATGTAAAATCAAAATGAAAAATGCTGAAACTAATAATTCCGGCATTTTTACATGTAAAATTGAAAAAAAAACGCCGAAACTAATAGTTTCGGCGTTTTTACATGTAAAATAAAAATGAAAAACGCCGGAACTAATGATTCCGGTGTTTTTACATGTAAAATTGAAAAAAAATGCTGAAACTATCAGTTTCGGCGTTTTTACATGTAAAATTGAAAAAAAATCGCTGAAACTAATAGTTTCGGCGTTTTTACATGTAAAATCAATATGAAAAATGCTGAAACTAATAGTTTCAGCGTTTTTACATGTAAAATCAATATGAAAAATGCTGAAACTAATAGTTTCAGCGTTTTTACATGTAAAATCAAAATGAAAAACGCCAGAACTAATGATTCCGGTATTTTTGCATCTAAGATCGAAAAAAAAAATGCCGAAACAAATAGTTTCAGCGTTTTTATATATAAAAACAAAAGTAAAATGCCGGGACCCACGTTTTTTCAATAAAAATTAAAAAATCTTTTTTTTTTAATTAAAAATGTCGAACCTGACGTTTTTTGTATAATTAATAAAAAAAACGTTACAAAACGTTTTTTTAATTGAAATATTTAATAATAAAACTTCAGGTAACCTGAGTTACCCGAAGTGACCCAAATACTTTCGGGTCAAATGGGTCAGGTCGGGTCAGAACGGTTTACCCAACCCGACCTGACCTGAAAAAAAATTTCGGTTCGGGTTAACTAGGTAACCCGACCCGACCCGACCCGTGCGGAGCTCTACCAATAGTAACGGTTTTCTGCCAAGAAAAAATTTTGATTTATTAGTACACATTGATCGTGCAATAAAACAAACACTATAAATATTCTTTTGGTGCACATTTTGCATACATATCACTCGCATGTAGCATATACAATACCTAAAGAAAAATCAGCATAAGTGCTCATAGGTGCAATAAGGTGATTCATTCCATTAATGGCTTTCCACAATCCGAACAAAATTTAGCAGTATCTTTATTTTTTTCCTCGCACTGAGCATCTGGGCAAGATACGATACTTGATAGCAGATTGAATGGTGGTGGAGGCCCAAGCAAATCTAATGCAAAATACAAAGATATAGAATTATCCCTTTTTATATGAAGTGGAATAATATATAATATAATAATAGACAATACTAAGCGGAATCATTTTGACTCTCTTTGATGACTTTGATGGAGTATTCAAACATGTTGGCAAATTCACCTTTGTTTTTGTGATGGTTGTGGTGTCACATCGTAGATATCCTGTAAATGTTGTAGTTGACTTTCTTCATCACGTTCATCGGGTTGTCCAACCAAGCAAATCATATTATCAACGATTTTCTACAGAAATAATTTTGTCAGATGTAGAGAACAGAAACCGAAAATCAATATATAAGTGCTTACTTTAGCCTTCCATATCAAGGCAATTGCAGGGAGTATTTTTTTTCCGAATTCTTTAATATGTGTAGCAATAAAGAAAGACTTTGATCATGACTAGGAATGGCAACGGTCGGTCACGGTCAGTTATCGGTTGGTCATAACTGGTTAAGGGCCTTTGACCGACTGACCATTTTAGCTGACCATTTTTCTGACCGTTTAACAGACCATTTGACTGACTGTTTAACCATTTTTTTTAATGAATTTAATTAAGAAAAAACGTTAAAGTGTTTTTTTTGATTAAATCCACTAAAGAAATGTTATAACAATTTTTTTTATTGATTAAATTCGTAAAAAAAGTGTTAAATAATTAAATGGTCAGTTAACGGTCGGTTAAATGGTCAGTTAAATGGTCGATCAAACAGTCGGTCAAACTGGTCGGTTAAACGGTCGGTCAGAAGCCTTTGACTGACCGATATCAGTCACGGTCATAACCAGTCATGACCGGTTAATAACCGTGACCGTTGCCATCCTTAATCATGACACACGACATATATATCCAGCTGGTGAGTCTAGACGCAGAAGTGTCATCATAAGCCCTTGAAAAATACTATCTAAGTAAGCAACGGAAGCCAAATTAAGTATTAGGTAAAAAAACATACCAGCATAAAGGAACCCAATTGTTTCCAGTTTACGGGTTTTCTTTTCATCTTGGTCAAAAGTTTTACAGAGTTGATCAAACATATCCTTCATCATTTTAGGCATTTTCAGGCCTCTTTCCTGTAACAATTTTGTACCATTCTGTCCTTCAAACTGTCGACCTGCTTCTGTGCACTATATTCGTCTGTAATCTTACGAATAATCATATCGCTTCTCCTCTCAAGAATCTTTCTTTTCTTATCTACTGCAGGAATGGTTCTTTTATAATTTTCCTTGTTGATGACGACAGGCTACACGATTCACCTCTATTGTAAAAATTATTAAACCATGAGAAGAAAAGAACTAATCAGGTTTCACTTTCCTTACCTGACTACTTTCACTTCCTCAATATCATTAAAAACTTTATAAGTAAAGTTCCAAACGTGAACAAGTATCCACAACTCTAAATGGTCTGACATCAAAGCGTTCGATTCATACTCTAACAATCTGTAAAATGAGATTGCGAACTTAGAATCCAATCTTGAAATGTATATGAAATTAGTTACATACAAATTGTATACAGTATTACGTATCCAGTCTCGGTCAAAGTCTCTTGATCTATTGAAGTCTTGATCCATTTGTTCAGGCATAAAAATTTGCTTCTGAAGTTCCAAAGTATTTTTCTATTGGAACAACATACCAGTTGTCAGTAAAAAAAACAAGTTATAAGATATAAAATATAAGTGAAACTTACAGGATTGAAGCTATTTAATTTGTGATCCGCCAGTGAACCATAAAATTTGACTATTAAAAGGCGATGATAAGTTCATATATATTTTTATCAATAATTTAGAATCTGCAATTTGCAATTCCAGAGAAAAAATATGGGATAACTCGCCTTCTATTGGTCATAGAGATATAAAATCATTACCATTAGATGCGTCTTGATGAGACGAATCCGATGAACCAAATTTTATTTTCCTACGACCACTAGACGATGAGTTATCTTTAAAATTTTAAAATACTAAATTTTTCTTTTTTTCAAATTCAAATGTTCAGCTCTTATGAAAGTGTCTTTTAATGCTTAAAATTTTTACCAGTCTTTTATTATTAAGATAGCCAAATGGCATATTTTTATGCCTATAATATTAGTTTTCATATAATATTTTAGTAATTTGTACCTTGTATTAGCGGAACTGTAGATTCTGCGCTATTAGTAAATATATATATAACTTTCACTGAAATTTAATAGCCAAGTTTATGGTTCACTGGCAGATCACGAATTAAATACTTCAGCAATTCCAGAGGCATCAACAGTGTTTCCTTGGTTTGATAATGTCGAATTTCGTGTAATTCACTTTCAGTAAAAACACTTTCTATCAGGTAATTATTGTCATCAGGATCTAGTATAAACGAATGAGCAAGACTTTTTGACATAGGGATAAAGTATGAGCGAAACTAATACATTCTGTAAGCTTATTGTAAGTATAAACTTACTGTTCATACTTGCAACGCAGGCTGAAATTGTAAAGAACGTCCTCCACAACAGTTCCAGTTGTGAGTACCCACTTATTTGAATTATTCATTTCAGTGTAGGATTTTTTATATTTTTCGTAATCATATGTAGACATTATTCGAGAATTGTCATCATCATCACACTCCAGTGTGCTTTCTGATCTTGTCTACAAGATGATATCAATTACCAGTTGTATTATTTCTAACGCTTCAAAGTGCCAAATACTTACTGAAAAATCCAAGTTTTTATTATCTCTATTGTCTCTACCATCCTTAGAGCATCTTTCAGTTTGTTTTCCTTCCGAAGATATTTTCGCAACTGAGGAACCTTTTGTTTTATTAACAGTATTATGATCTAATGAATTAGATTTTTCTTGTGTTCAACCTGTTCCGTATGGTTTATTACTTGTTTTAGCCTGTTCATATAACAAGTAGAAGAAAAATTTTTAGAAAAATTCACTCCAGAATCATAAGGTTACATTTTATATATACCTTCTGAGTCAGCCGATTCTTTATTCTATAAATATCAAAGTAGTTATCAAAGAAAATACACGCATAAATTTCAAGGCAATATTTATATCAAAAAATTTTATCGTCATATTCTAACCTTCGATAATGATAAATTTTTCCGCTTTGGTTGACAGACAGGCATGAAATCATCATCAGACTAAATACAAAAAAAAAGAAATAAAATTCTTAATTCTCCTCCCCAAAGGGAAGTCATAAATCGGTTTATTGTAACTAAGCTTGAAGTCAGTGATTGTGTAATTAACTGGTTTCACCTTTTCTTCGACTTCTGAGACACTCCGTTTTTCAAACCTTTTCGTAATAGTTTTTCGTAGCAAATGACCTTGTTCTCGTGTATCCTTTGTCGCGTCCAGAACATGTTGAGACTAAAATGGACTTTTCAGTTTGTAGATCAAAGTATAGTAAAGGCTTCAAGAATTATCATACAAACCTCTTCGAGATAAATCTCGTTCTCTAGTTTATACTTTGCTAGATCCATCCAGTATTGTTCTACCGGAAATGAATTAACTTGTTCCTATTTTAAGAAAGTAATAAAATATTTATCTCTAAATCGTTTGTGGAATGTCTGCATCAAAGGATAAAAAGCCTGCACCAAAGGGACACACACAACACGGAGGTCTTAACTCCACAACACAGAGGTTAGGAGGTAGCATGAGATCCACACCAGCACTGAGGCAATTCCCCCACTGATACAGAGGTCGAACAGATAGCTCCCTCGGCGACACAGAGGTCGAAAGAGGATGGGATAGGATGATGATACACGATAAAAAAAACTAACAAAGAAAAGGTATGAAACTTTACCTCAAAAACGTTAAGACAAGCTTGTGCAAGCATCTTTCTTTCCAGCTTGGTGGTATCGTCTTTAGCAATAGAAATAAGTGTTCCCTTGTACACACTATGTGCTTTGGTTCTTTCTGTTGGGCGCTTGTGCTCCAGAAAGCCAAGTAGCGAACAGGAAGTTAAGTCATCGAAGTATGTGTCAAATTTAGGCATGATTCGTGTTAAAGTTATTAAAAATCTAAAAAGTGATTCGGGCTACACGTCATAGTCGTCATAGGCACGTTGATACGGTTTTTCACGTGATTCAATTCACGGAACTCTATCCTATGTACCGATAAATTTTCCTCACAATTACAAAGCATTTCAGAAAAAATTTTCGATGTACCGTAAATGCCCGAGATGGAAGAAATTTTATTGAACTTCGGATACATAATTAATCAGAGAAGCGAATGAAATGTATGATGCTATCAAAGAGGGAGGGAGTACGCGGATCCTAGGCCATTTAATGCGAGTCCCAGCATCAATTTATTTCTTTGCTCGAAAAATATCTATAGCTAATAAAATTATTTCTCTATCTATACGCCTATCTACTTTGCTAACTACGAGATTCTCACCTCATACTCTTTTACTACATTAGATTTCCGAAATAAATTATCACACCCATAACTACGTCTATCTATATCACTAATTTCACTCCCACTCACATAGACTATGTAAAAGATTAAGTTCCGTAAGAGAACTTTTCTATGATATATTAATTTCGAACCTATAGAATCAGAGAATAGAAATAAGTATATGCCCATAATTTTTAACGTTACAATTCATTTAATTCTTACCATGATATTTCATTTTTGTAGCATTTCACTCCGCCAAATATTTGAGAAAATTATTGCTTAATGTTTTTTGGATGTTGTTTGATTTACTGCGCCAGATGTTTGATATAAGACATGTGATGAGAATCAGGCAAAGCCACAATTTCACTGCGCTGATGATGCCCATCACGGGGAATTATTTTTATGATTAAAATTTTATTCGATATACTGCGCTAGACTTCGAGAATCAGCCACAGCAATTTGATTAGACGGTGTCAGCGATCCCGATTTTCTCAACGAATATTAAAAGGATCAAGAAAGGTAGTATGTCCGTTTTATTTTTGAGCATCTATATAGGTGAGAAAATCGATTAATATCGTGATGACGTTCTTCCGGAATCTAGCCAATCAATAATCAAACCCACCTTATTATTACTTTACGGAATATACTCGTTTGATTGATTGTAGATATTAATGATGAATATAACGGTAAGTTTGATTTGTTTCGTTTGTTTTTTTTTGTTTTACTTGCATAAGGCGGATAAAATAGTTCACAAACTGAGACTTCACCTTTTTATATAATTTCCAGGATCGATTTTGGAATACGCTTTTGGGGAAATTACGTTAATATGATCGCATTACGAAAATCTGATCAACCGCCTCTCCTTACGCTGTCCGTATGTAAAGATCATCAAGGGGCCCTTTTAATAATAATATACGTAATAATTTTGAGAATATGCGAGAAAGTTTGAGAATAAAAGTCCTTGGATCTTCGCTTGCAATCTTATTGCCCAATAATTTAGGACATGCGAGTAATAAAAAATTAGTACTGTATGTACATTGAATCGCCACGAGAAAAATATTTGACTACATTGCTCGGGTTACTTAGTGGCCTAAATGTCTTTTATTTCTTTTATTTTCAATACATTAAGCTAAAAAAATTACATGATGCGGGACTAGCCCTGAATATATGATGCCATTCTATGACTTTAGACTATTTATTATACACGATTATTTTTTCGAACGATATTCATCTATTCTAGTTTTTTTTCTAAAGTTTGCCAATACATGCTGTGTCATATGATAATCGTGAAGACTCTTCACACTTCCAACCAATAGAAGCAGGATCTACTGGCTAATAATTCAATGACGTCTTACTGCGCATAACATATACTGCGGAGAAGTAGAGATGACGTACTTACTGCGCATGATATATTCAGAAGTACGATATCTAAGCACCCACGTGATTCGGAAAAAAGAAACGTAGTAATAAATTTATAGGACAATCGAGTACCAAATATGCGAAATTCTCCTAGGCGGTTACCGGAGAGATAATAGGACTCATCATTGGGGAGGTTTTTCTTTCATATCTTCCGTCACGATAATAATAACCTCTATCACATTCACCATATTCATTATATCCACCGTATCTATCGTATTCATCATCATCCGATTCGTCTGGCATCTCTTCTTCAGAATCGTTGTCACTCGTTTCTTTCACTGGATGGGGTGTGGAATCATGATCGACTTCCTCATTAAAATACACATCATCGTTTGACTGGACCCTGGGGGACTCGTTCACCTCTTCTTTCTCTACCCTAGCTTCGTTCTCATATGGTGTACCCCAATAAGCAGTCTCATCGTCAAAATCCCCCGTGAGCGTTTTTACATAATCCTCCAAATCGGCTGATAATGATGAATTTTCTTCAGGCAAGATTTTTTCGCTAGTCTCAAGATTTCCGGCTGAAATTTCAGGAGTTGGAAAATCGTCCTGCTCTGCAGAATTATCCCGTGGTCCCTTTGGGACCCTCTCTATGATCTCTTGAATTTGATCGTTAGTCAACTCTGAAATGGAATTGGGACTATATTCACTAAGATACTTAATTTTATCTATACCTATTTTCTCGATTATTCTAACAAGCTTCATAGACCTTTGAGTCCTTCTAGTTAGAGAACTACGGGAGATTTTTGGAAGCTGTATAACACTATACCCATTTCTTTTGATCTCTTCTCACGAATAGTGGCAGTTTGCTTTAGCAAACCATCATAAATTATACCTTTTGCTTTTTTCTCTCCGATTTTGCCATTGCTATTTTCCACGAGTTCACTAAAGTGAACCATGAATTCTTTCCCAAAGTTAACCCAGCATAAGATTTCTTCCTCGTTGGCTTTTTTAGTGCGATATTCGGCATCTGATGCTTTATCAAATAGCTTCGCTAAATCGAGCAGAGATGAAGAGCATTTTGGGCGACGGGCCGTCGCTGAAATTTCAGTCATATGCAATGCTTTTGAATTTTTTGAATTGGAGGAATTCGACTCTTGATGCTTTATATTATCCTGAATGGATGGCTCTGCCATCATACCATCAGTTATCACCTGAACAATTTTCTCAGTGCCCTTTTTCTTTTGACTATTTTGGCCTGATTTCTTCGCAACCTCTTGTTCCGAAGATGTCATGCTTTCAGTATGAAGCTTCTTTTCCTTATTGCGTTGCTTTATTTCACTACTAACGATTTTCTTATGAGCCTCAAGCAAGAAATTATCCATCTCTTTCTCCTCTAACGGTTTTTCATGATGGACCGCACCCGAATTGAAGTTAGATAAGATGTTATTAGGAGTATTATCATTTTGCAACTGTTTTTCTTCCAATTTCTCAATTCTAGCATCACGTCGGTTATTCTCTTCTATCATCTGCTTCATAAGCTCCGCATTTCTGGCCTCAATCTCGACATTCCTGGCTTCAACCTCAGCAAGCTTCTTTCTAAGTTCAGGTATCTCGGCAAGTTTCTTTCTAAGTTCATGAATCTCAGCATTTTCAGTCTCAAGTTCGACATTCCTAGCCTCAAGCTCAGTAATGCGTTGCTTTAATAAATCTATTTCGGATTGCATGTCCTATAATATTTTTATGTTCTGTATGTTAGTATTCAAAATCAGAAAAAAAATGTAGGTTATTTCGGCTGATCATATCCTAGGGATACGGTTTTGCCAAGATAATTTTTTATTAATACATGCAAAAAATAAATACATAGGATCGGGACGTAGCCCGTGATACATGACGTCTAGGCTAATATACAAAATTATTTTTTCATTCGATAACCCTCTGTCCTGACCCTCTTTCTATCCGGTTCATCCTCCACACACGCCCTATCCTTTATTATCCCTACCACCACACTTAAAATCTTTTTCACACCATTACACAGCGTTTGATATTCCGGGGACTTCTTATCCAAAGCATCTTCGGAAAATTCGATGCTTAGCGGTAGCTTGCTCCCTTGCGAAATTTTTCCAGGTGTATAGAGCAGGAAGTGCCAGTCTCGAGCGGTTGTCACAATACCATAGAGATAATCTACGAATTCTCCAACTGCACGATATTCTGAGCGAAGCCTTCGATTACATTACGCTGTGGTTTATCCTCCGTGATGCAAATAAGGTTCTCGGCATCCTAACCGGAGGAAGAATTAGTATGGCGTTAGTATGGTCCACGGGACGGTATAAAAGTGCGGTCATACTTCTCTCACCTTGATTGCGTAATCAACCCGTCCCGTACTTTCATCACCTATTACTTCGTATTCAGGCCTCATGCTGAGTTCTTTTCCGGTGGCATCCCTGGTTATATTTATTGCGGAATGGAGGATGGCCACGACGTACTCATTGCGCATGGCTTCCAAACTACCCACAACCAAAGTCCCGTAGTTTTTTAGCCTGACTAATATTTCTGCCATACATTGCTTGAAGTGCTCGTTGGAGTCTTGAATTTCGTGGGTTTGTAGTGAAAAAAGTGGGATAGTGTCCGTACCGTTACCATCGATACCATATTTCTTCAACACCTCCTTCAAACTGCGGTATGTTGAAAAGGCCCTCAACTTCTTATCCTTACATTCCTTGGCAAAGTCCATGAGAGCCGTTGCAGGTCCCAAACCTAAGCCAGCACTTCGAAGCTCATCCTTGGCTATCTTGAAAAAGGTACGGCCGTTTACCCTTTGTTTGCGAATTATTTCCAAGTCATCGTCGTCAAGACCCAAGTCCTCCTCCTTACGCAAAAAATCTATAAGCTCAGCCGTCTTATATTTCTTAATTTCGTCCGCTAGCGTGACCGCTTCATTTCCAGTAGTAGTGGTAGAGGTGGAAGCTGGAGTATAAGGTGTACTGGTTTCAGAAGACGTTTTTATAGTGATATTAGGCTCGGGTAAAAAATAGTGTTACGTTCGGAGGAAAAATAGAGTTTTATTTCTGGTGGGAACGCAAGCGTTAATATAGGCTTTTATGTCGCACAGACATTGCATCATTACACGTGACCCGTTCTCATATACGTTCGTTAAAATAATACTTTATTTATGAAATAAATCGTTGCCGGAACCCGCCCTATAATACATAAAAATCGGCCGTTGAGGCGCTACATGATCTGAATAAAAAATACTATTTTTTGGTTGTGAGATGTTCCGTTAAATCTGTTCTTTTTCGAGAATCTGTTACCAAAGGTAATGGTAGTCAGAACAACGCTCATTAGATGGTCCCTTTAGGACCGATTCAGCTATAATGTTATGCAAAACGCCTTTTGGCTAAATTACTCACACAGCTCCTTAATATAGTCCTCAAGTTCCAATGCTTGTCTCAATGACATTCCGTATTCCTTAAAATCCCATCCGCTTAGCTTGAGAAATGAATCACCGGTAATTTTTTTCTCCTCAAGCTTCGTAAAAAGGTCACCAACTTCTATGTGTTTTAATTTGGAATCTTCCCGCAAAAATTTGATAAGACTTTCCATTCCATATTCTTTTAATATGTCAGCTTTAGTGGGGATAGAAGACATCTTGCTTCTTGTTATCTATCGGTAATAAGCCTTATAGTGAGAAATTTTCGTTCCCATACATAATTTATGGTATATACATACCTTATTTTTTTTTGCGGAAAGTTGGCTAAACTTCCTACATGCTTTATATCTTGCTGGGAAAAAAGATAAGGAGGTATATGGCGTAATTAGTATTGTCGTCTGATGCCAAGAGCTTCATGAAAGCACATGCAAATAAAACTTTCGTACCTTTTCACATGGAGATCTACCGGAGAGACACATAGTTGGTCTTACGCCTGACGATCTCGAAATTGTGACTCCCTCAGCCTTTCATAACATATGCTTTTGTCGTCAATATTTACTTTTAGAGCTGGTCCTGTGTTGCAACTAGACCCCCTTTCACATTTTCTCACATTCGTTTGGGAAAAAAAATAAAGAATAAAGGTTAATGTTTTTCGAATATATATGCAAAAATTATTATGTCGCACAAGACCTGACTGATGATCGGCCTATTTTTGTCGCACAATCTGTGGCCCAGCAAAAATCTTCCGAGCTGATGATCATGAGAATCGCCTCACGGTCCGCTCCGGACTAGCTAGATTGGTAAAGTACGTTACCATTCTGATTGATTGGCTAGTATTCTATCACCAGCTCTCGACATTAAGGTGGAAATATTACCTCGAGTCGGTGAATGTCTGTTCATAGCTATAATGTGGTGATCGTCACCAGAGTCAACCGTCATGAAACTAAGATGCTGGTATAACTGAGGTAGAACTGAATTCAGATTATTACCAACACTATGCCGAATGTTATATATCCATCCTATCTCTTGATCTAATTCAGCTCGCATATCCATAGAATTCATGAAATCCTCAACATGGATATTTGGATTAAGTAAAACGAGCTGATCTATGGCTTCTTTAGTAATATTAGCACACCCCTCCAGATTGAGATATTTAAATAAAGACATGAACGAGAAATTTCTTTGATAGTTACATCAGTAATTCCACAAAAACTAAGGTTGAGATGTTGGAGATTTGGACAGGAATGAATGGCATTGCAAATTGAAGTCTCGGCGACGTAAACACACCTACCAAAATCAAGATACTCTACACTAAGATGTTTCTCTACATTTTAAAAGGTGTTTCTCTACAGTAAGAAGTTTTTCTACTAATATATCACATTTATTTTTTCTTCGACAACTACCCGGAATACTGAATCTTCGTAAATTTGGGCATGAGTTTAAGATGTGACTTATAAATCTTTCAGAAATCAAATGCGCACAAGCAAAATGAAACTCTTGTAAAGCTTAGCAACTGTCCGCAATTTTGATTAAAGATCTATCAGTAATGCCTTGGCAGAAAGAAATATTTAGATATTCTATTTTACGACATGATCCCACCATTCCACATAAAGCTTTATCACCCATAATACCACTACTACATAAATTAAGATATCTCAGATTGGGGTATGCTTTAAGCTGATTTAATTCTCTATTACTAAAACCCACACAATTTTCGAAATTCAAATGAATTATGTTTGGGCATTTTCTTACTATGCCTTCAATTTTCTTACTTGAAAGTGGATTATAGTATGTAATTTCTAGATGGGTTAGTTTTGAGCTATAAATTGGCTTTTGCTTCCCACATACTAATTCTATGAATTTCTTTGCTTTGGGATCGTTCCCCTTTAGCTCAATGCGTCTCCATAGAATAGGGGCACCGCATCTGTACCACAATCGGGAAACATATAGAGCGGAATAGAGAGATTTATCTATCAATAAGAAATATAAAATTCGTTCTAGTAACTCCTGTATATTAAAAATACTTGTATGTGCCATAAATAATATATGCTGTATCTTTAATCGAAAAAATAAATTTTCTGGGTTGGATCAGACTCCCAAATATTCACTCAGCTTAAAGTAATCGAACACGCCTACAATTCTATCCTGTCTTATGTTCTTGACAGTGATTAAGCCAGTGGTCCTATCATATGCGTGTTCATATTTGACCGGATTGCATAATGGCAAATACTGCGTGGAGTTAGTAGTGAACTTACCCATTGTCTTGCACTGGTTATTCCTTAATTTTTTAACCATATCTTTTAGTATATCTGATTCAATTATCTAGCAAATTATTTCAGGTTAAAAGCAATACCTCGAGGTGATGATTAGTATTCCAGACTCAAAATTTTCTGCATTAAATATATTTTGATTTCATCTCAGCCCATTTTAAACCACCAACTGTTTAACCTTTTTTGGTCGTACCTTTCTTCATTGCTTATGAGGGATCGCCTCATTTTCTCTTATCACAATTGTCTTAACCGAATCAGATTCTTTGGAAGACTCAGACAAATAGGAGGAACCCTTATACAGAACATCTCTCGACCCTTTTTTATCAATTATTGAAGGAATTATTTCTTGTATTATGTCGAGCACAGTTTCCCTTATCTACACATTCGTTCAGGTCTTCTAATTCAGTTTCTAAGGACTTTACATCTCTCTCTAATCTTTTTACCCTCTTTTCTAAAGTGTTATGTTGAGAATGATAATCTTCCAATTGTTTCTTTAGTGCCCTATTTTCACCGGAAAGTGCATTATATACTTCTGCATTTTGCTTATTTAGTCCTAATGACTGGGCTAATTTCTTCGTGTATCTGATAACTTCCTGCTTGCTAGCTATACTATCGGATGAATGCTTTTGATCAGTTACCATTTTCATGATATTTTATATATGCTAGCACTAGTCGAAATAAGGCAAATCGGCTAAAAATCGGATATCCGATTTTAGGTCGAATTACGGCTGAAATATGTCCGATTTTTACAAAAAAAATATATTCCGATTGTTATCTGATTGACTGCCAATCAGATGTACTTCAGAACTTAAATCAGACATAAATCAGAACTAAATCATACTAAATTCGGACAGTCAATCAGATATACTTTAGAACTTAAATCGGACAAAAATCGGACTATTTTTTTCTGAATTTATTTCAATTTTTATTATCAAATTTATTAAATGTATTTATTAATTTTAAATGCTTAAAAACTTTATAATTATATTATTATTATTAGCATCTATCTAAATTACAAATAAATATTGCCAATTCAAAATTATAATAAAATAATAATAATAAAATAAACCATGATTCATATTTACGAATCTTAGTTTTGGTTCATTTATTAGTCGGAAATCCACCCAAACCTATAAAAAAAAGAAAAGAACGGTTATTAGTAACCGTTCATTAATATTAATAAAAAAAATTTAACCAAGATTCGTATATACCTACAAATATTGATCTTTTTCCATTCTCCGGAACTTGGAAGCCTACCCGAACCTATAAAATAAAAGAAAGGAACGGTTAGTACCCGTTCCAAAATAATAAAAAATAAAAATAAAAAATAAACCAAGATTCGTACTTACTTACGAATCTTGGTTCCTTTTCTTCCGATCTTCGGAAGTCAACCCAAAACCTAAAAAATAAAAGAAAGGAACGGTTAGTAAACCGTTCCAAATAATAAAAAAACAACAAAAACAAAACCAAGATTTGTATATACTTACGAATCTTGGTTCTTTTCCGTATTTTGGAATTTGAAAATCCACCCGATCCTAAAAAAAGAAAAGAACGGTTATTAGTAACCGTTCATTAATAATATTAAAAAAAA